CTTCGAAAGGTAGTCTTGTGTGTGGCCAGTTGTTTAATCTATGGTCTCATTTATCCACCAGAGATGTTTGGCCACAGACAGAGAAGTATCACGTGGGGGGGGGGGTGCGCGTGCATGTGCATGTGTGTGTGCATGTGCATGTGTGTCGTTTAGAAATGAGGAAACCTAATTGGTACAATGAAGTGCACAAAAGAGAAGGCTTTTTTGTCTTTTCAATACTGCATTAAAAACCGAAATGGTCTTTAATCATACCTTCAGGCACCAAATTAATGCCAATTAATTGTATCAAATCCTCCTCCTATTCAAGATAACTACAGAAACCGCTTTGGGTGCTCAGAGCCAAGGCTAATTATCTCCGAACATCAGCAGCCCTGGTATCAGCCATTGGACAACAATCCAATATGTGGTTAACGAGGATTTTGAGACTGGCTGAGAGGGTGTGGAGTGAGCCCACCCAGGCCCTCAGCTGTGGCCTCCTTCCAACAGCTTGTGACAGTGACACTGGCCAACCATCATTCAGACACACATAGACCTCGGGACCCACAGATGGGCTGGCTCTTAATCATTGTCATTCTTGAGGGTTGTGAAAGGATGTGGAATATGGCCATAATAAAATTATCATTGTTGTTATTATCATTATTATTATTATCCTTTCCAATTCTCTTCAGGGTTGAATTTGCTTAAAGCACTTAAGTATTTATTGATCCGATGGGTTTTATGGGGACCCTGCCAATTTTCAAGGGCTAGAATGTGAAGGTTTCCCATCCTTTCTGCACTTTTTGCTGGCCACTTCCTGAGTGCCTGGCTGTAAATAGGAAACAAAGGCCTGGCATTTCACTGTGCAGTCACAGTCTGTGAGACTCATTTTTCCACTTCTGGTTTCTATGAGGACACAGAACCCCAATCCCCCTTGGCCTCCTGTCCTACTCCTCCTCCTTATGCATGTGGAAGACTTACCTGGTTGCTTTGCTTTGAATCTCCTTGGTATACAGCTAAATGGTCAAAGATTTTCTGCAGAGGGAGGTGGGACCAGCCCTCCTCACCTGGAGCAGCGGCACAAGCTATCTGGGTTGGTATGGACACCTGTGGACCCTGACATGCTCCCAGAGGCCTTACAAAGGACCCCTGAGGAGAAAGGAAGACCTTACATCTGCTTGGGCTCACACATTCCCCTACACTTCAGGTCCCCAACCCAGCCTGAGGCAGCGCCAAAGAGAGACATCTCAATTTTCCCATGGCTTTCTCTTTATTTTATTTTCCAACCAACTAAAAATTCAGATGGAGAAGAGGGTGTGGCCTAACGTGCTCCACAAAGACACACAATCAGCCCCCTTTGATGTGCTTCCTTGGCGAGGCAGCAATAACTCCAAGCTCCTTAATGCATCCTAGCACCTTTTTGGCTTCTTATTTTATAGGTTAGACAGACATTTATATTTTGGTTATTCCATGATAATCCATGTCATAATAGAAACAATTAAAACTTCACAGTTGAAGCTTTTCCTTTTGTCAGCTTTTAATTTTGCAGTTTTAGAAATAAGTTTCCATCTTGTAAGAATTGTGAGAAAATATGGCAGCAAAACCATAGAACATGAGACATCATTACAATGAATTAGGATGGGAAAAAGGGAGGAAAGTGGTTGAAATAATAGAACAAAGTAGCAACTAGATCTTAGGAGAGTACAGAGGGTACAGATAAATCTGTGTATTCGTCCATTTCTTACAAGATACCTGAGTCCGGGCATTTTGTGAAGAAAATAATTTTATCGAACTCCCAATTTTGGAGGCTGAAAATTGAAACAGCATGGCCACCTCTGGAAAGTGTCCCGTGCTACGTTCTGAATCGAGAATGTTCCGCAGAGGCCATATGCACTCATAAGCAGGGCTTTGGGGAGGGGACTGGATCATGGAGGAGCTATAGCTCACTCACCATTGGGAGACTGGGGTGTGACCTTGAAAGGTGCATCAGCCTCCTCAGCTCCTCCCTTCTCTCTGTGCTTCCTGGCCCCTGCGAGGTGAGCAGCTTTCCTCTGCTGTGCCCTTCTGCCATGTTGTTTTTGCCCTGGAATGAGCTAACTATGGACTGCAAACCTGACCCAAAATAACCCTCTCCTCCCTTAAATTTCAGCTGTCAGGTATTTTGTCCCAGTGCCGAGAAAGTAGTTAAGATGCCCTGTCTGCATCACATCATGATGGTGACATCACAGCTGGAGCACATGCAAGAAACATCAGAGGTGGGAAAGGAACCCAGAATGGGGGGAGGGACCACTCTTGCTCTTTTATAACAACTCACTCTTATGGAAACTAGCTAGAGCCCCAAGAAAACCTTAATCCCTACCCAGGGAAGTACCCCATGACCTAACCACTTCTTAAAAGTTTCACCACCTCAACACACCACCCTAAGGACTGAGCCTCTAACTCATAAACCCTGGGAAATAAACCATATCTGAATCATAGCATCCTGCTTTCAAAATGTCTATGATAGCTGTAATCAGACTGCCTTTATGAGGGATGTAAATGATAGGTATAATTACTATCTATGATGGATATAATTTCATAATCCTCACAGACAAAACCCTTCTTTGGGTTGGGGAAGAAAGGTGAATCGTCCTTGATGCAGATCTCAGACAGATTTTAGAGTCAGCTGAGAAATCACTACCCTCTGTGTGTTGTCCCAGCATGTCAACTCTGGGTACCAGACTGGTCACTCCACCTCTCCTCTAAGAGACCTTGGTGAAGCACATGTCATGTAGTTAGAGCTCTCGTAGCTTTAAAAAGTTATATACAACTAAAATCCCCCATCATAGTCCTGGTTTTCATGACCTTCTGCCGTGTTAAGAAAATGTCTATACAAAATCAGTGACTAATGCTGAAAGAAGAAGAAGTATGGAGATTAGGGCACCTATGATGTGACTAACTATCCCTGTCCTCTGCCCTCCCTCTTTCTCCCCAACCCTCTTTCTCCCTTTTTCTCAAACCCACAGGCCACAGCTTATTAGATCAGAAATAGGTCTCGGCTGGGCCAAAGTCCCTTCCCAGAGAATTTGGAATTGAAAGTAAAAGAGTGACAGAGAAAGACACATACTGAGGCTGGACCCATATTAGGGAGGTCTCAGTGGTCTCTACTCTGCCTGCCTGGAGGCGGAGCAGCAGAGGAGGCCAGTCGGCCAAGAGAAAAGAACACAAACCACAAAGGACAGAAGAAAACAGAGACCGGGAGATGAGCAGAACATTCCCTGGGTTTTTGCCAACAAATTTTCAGTTTTTGCAGTGAACATCACTGAAACTCAACCTACCTCCCTGTGACCCTATGATAACCACCACTCACCTCTTTTTGCTAAAGTTATTTTTGTGACGTATACACAAAAGAGACTCATTTAGCGTGGAGCCACTGGAAAAAGTCCCTGGATGCACAAGTTGTAGCAAAAGTCCTAATGGCCAATAATGCCTTGCATATATCTGCTGTTACTCTTCCCAGTAATTCCCTTGGACACGTGAACAGTGCCTGCTCCTCTCATGTCAACAAAGACATCCCCTGACCCCAATCTGAGTGCCCTTGAGTCCCTCCTGGAAACAGCTGGTTGACATTGGCTTGGACATGACCCCTCTCACTGTCACCATGAAGACAATAGATCAAGACAAAGGAACTCAGACTGAATAAAAAAAGGAGCTTTGTGCATCCAGCTGAGACCACCAAGAGAGCAGCGACCATTTGCATCAGTCCCAAGTGGGCCCACTTAACAACTCTATTTGAAGGGGGAAGTGAGGTGACTGGGAGAGCATCGAGAAGTGTGAAAGTGATCATTCAAATAACGCCATTCCTGTCTCGAGCACTGATATGCCCACCATGTAGACAAAGATCAAAATAACCAGCACCAACAAATAAAGCAACCACATCTCAGGAAGAACACCCAGGGTTTCAGTTTCTGATTTATTTAACAGGCTCACAGGTTGCACGCTTCACTCCTTTCTTATTTCCAAAGCCAGGAGTTGTCGTGTCTGTCCTGGGCCAGTGTGACTGGGTCTCTACTGCCCCCTTTTAAGGCATGTATAAAGCAGAGAGGCCCCAAGCTGGCCCAGGGCACCGAGACCCAGCTGCCACACTCCCAGAATGTGGGCCACAGTGGGCCAGTGTGATGAAAGCCCAGGATCAGGCATCTCTAACGCTTTGATTTGCAAGAACAGCTTGACATCCATAGCAACGTGGTTAACGTGAAAAACACAAGATAAAAACATTCCATTTAATTAAAAGCCCACAGTTCCATGGTAGTATAATTATTACAAGTGCATTTTATGGCTGTCTGCATTCGTTTTGGGTACATAAATTAATATGCAAATTACTAGCCCCTCTCCTGTTCTTAAGAAGTCCTCCTATCAATCCAGCATGTCAGTTGCGTAAAGCAGAGCTTTTTAAATGCAAAATAAAATTCACATTTATGAGCCTTCTGAAATCTCCTTGGGCTGGTAAGCTTTGTTTTAGATGAAAAGTGTTTAATTAACAGAGCTCACCCTTCTCCAAAGGCCTCAGACCACAGAGGAAAGGCCAGCACACGTCTGTGGTCTTCAGGCTGCTCAGGATTAGAGACTATTTTCCGTCTCCAAGACCACCTATCAAGTTATTTGAGGTTGGCCATTCAGCCCAGCAAGAATGTTACTATGGGAAAATATTGTTCTGATTTATAGAAAAGCAAATTCCCAACCCATAGCCGCACGAACTTGATATTATTCACCAGGGAAATGCTATAGGGAATTACTTAGCAGATGGTGTGTAGGTACTCAGAAGCCACTCTGAGTACAGGTGGCAGGCCCTAAGTGATGGGTAAGAACAAGATACACAGGGTTGACCTCTTCTCCTTCCATGATAGCACTGTTAAGCTGGTTTAATGGGAGAATCCTACAAATACATCTTCCTGTTAATAAGACTTTCAGAGAAATCCCCCACGACTCCCTAAAAGATGTATAGAAGAGGTGAACTCACTGTTCAAACAACCATACCAAGTTAATTCAAGTATCAGAGACCTTGGAGCTCCATGTCTGAATCTGTCCCATCAGTGTCTCTAGTGCTGGCCTGAAAGAAGCCAGAGAACATATGATTGAATGATTACATATGACTCACAGCTGAAAGAGACACCTACCTAATACTTTGCAAATCATCTCAATAAACTGGGCCTATCTGATGAAAAATTTTACAAGAACAAGATAGACTTAGCGGCTCATTTTTTAAAAAATGTGGTTCCCTGTGAGTTCCATAGTGGCTCTTAGATTGATAGAGATGCCTAAGTAATGATAGGAAAGTTTACTTAGAGAACAAGTATAAAATATAAGCAAATCGAGGGCAAGGATTTTGTCTTATTTAACTCAGTGTCAAGAACCATGCCTATCACATAGTAGGTTTCTAGTAAATATTTATTAGAGAAATAACATACTTTTACACATACCTTTTAAAATTATAAATGGAATTGCATGGATTATAAAAAAATCTGGAGAACATAGAAGAGCACAAAGATGAAATAAAAATTACTGTTAGCCCTAAGACAAATCTGTACTAGTATTTTTGCTTAGTTTCTTTAAGTCTATTCTCTATGCTCTTTTCAGGTGGTCAAGTAAACAATTTTGTATCATAATTAATTTACATTATACTGCGGTATTTATACACAATGGAGTACTATTCTACCATAAAGAAAGATAAACTTGGGCAGTCATAGGCAACTGGATGCAACTTGAGAACATAAAGTTAAGTGAAATAATCAGACAGGCAAGATTAAAAATCTAATGGTTTCTCTTATATGAGAAAATAAAAATAAAAATATAAAGAAGGGGGAGCAAAATAGAAGATAAATAAATAGGAAGTTGGGAGAGGGACAAATTATTTCCCAAATCATCTATTTTATTGTTTCAAAAATATTTTAACATATATGCCTATTTGTTTCATTTATACTACTAGTTTAATCTTAGATTACTGAAAAGAAAGTTTTGTGATATTATCAAAATGGAAGAAAAATTCGAAATAGGTAGAAATTTAAACAATCCCCCAAATTACCTGTTCTATTGTTTCAAAAATATTTTAATATATATGCCAATTTGTTTCATTTATACTACTAGTTTAATCTTAGATTACTGAAAAGAAAGTTTTGTGATATTATGGGTTTATTTCTGAGTTGTTTATTGTTAGTCTTATTATTTTGTTATGAAATTTTTATTTTTTCATAAAATAAAAAACTGAAAACCCAAAATGTCCATCAAGAGATGAATAAACAAATTATAACATTCATACAATATAATTCTTCTTAGCAATAAACAGAACTGATATACATTAAAACATAAATTTATCTTAGAA